TGCCCCCCCCCCCCCAACTTCCTTTTAGGGTACAGGATGTGAAGACGGGGCCCATTTACGAATGAAGTGCGTTTCAAGGCGTTGAAAACTGTGCTGCCCCCCTTGCAAGGTTCTCTCTCAATGTTGAGGGCATGTAGCCTGCTATGATTCAGGAGGCAGGGGCAGCTGCATGCTTACTGCATGTCTGCATAAGGAGGTTTTATTAATGTATAGGGGGACTCCACACTTTTTCCCCCCCTTAATAGAACAATACACATAATTTACAAAAAATGTGTACAAAAAAACAGGAAATAACAAAGGCATGGGTTTCCCCTACAATTCAAACCAAACCCTTACCCAGGCATGCAGATAGGGTGGTCAGGTCAGCTCCCCCCACTGAACCATACCAGGTCACATGCTCTCAACATTGGGATTATACCTTTCCAGAGTTGGTGGGGGGGGGGGCAATTTAGCTACTTTACTCAGCTGGACTGAAACCCAAATTGTATTATCTAGACACGTATGGGGAACTACAGCATATGTGGGGCAGAGAGCAGCGGAAATTACATAGACAAGGTCGTAGCTCTGCTGTACACCGCAAGAGGCTGATAGCAAGATTAATTTAGGTTGTTACACTACTTGCATTTGAAATAAAATCCTGATGTATTAGGAGTACAGTGCTGTATTAATGTATGTGTTTTATATCATCCTGTTGTTCCACATTAAATATTTGTATATGTAAAAGCAATTACATTGAAATCTATTCAGTTATAAATTATACCTATTGATTTATCAAAGTGGTAGTAAACCGCCAAACTATGGCTATGATTTTTTGCTCCCAGGAATTGTTTGCCATAATGTGCTAGTATGTACAGCACTATGGCAGACCTACCTTATTGGCGATCCCCTCCAGAAATGCTGCCGGTGCTTCCATCTTCAGCCTATTAATTAGCTGGGCCAGGTGATATAACTGCATGCGCACAGGAGTTACTTAATTTCGGCACAGGACCTTGCTGAGCCTGTGATACTAAGTACTAATCACATAGTAAGATACTAAGTGGCACAAACGCTGGCAGGTAGGGAGGCAGCAGAGTGTCTTCTGTCATAAAAACCCTACCTGTTACTTTTTTTTTTAAGCTTTACTTCCACTTTAACATTTTTTTACTTTCCTGTTTTACAAACTAGAAGAAATTTTGAACCTGAACGACAGCAAATATATTTACTCTTTGTGTGTTCATTTTTCATTGTCCAGCCATTGTCATTTGTGTTTGTATTTCTTGGGTTCCAGTACAGTAACAATTTTCCTATTTGGATTACAACGTTTAAGGAACCCTTCTCTATGGGGATGAGGACAGGATGAAAAGTGATGTGTTGTGGCAATCAAGCTATTCATTAAAGGATGGGCAGATGTTTCCCCACCCATCATTCTCGGGTATCTGCTTGTTCATAGGCAGGCTGCGCACAGCTGCCTTATGTAACAGCAATTTGGTGAATGGCTTTAATTTAGACGTAGTATTATTTTGCTAACGATAACATACAATCACTAACAATGTTTGAATTTTATGTTACAGTAAAATGAAGAGAATAGACGGCACTAAAGTTCGCCAGGTCAAATCAGAGCAGCTTTTGCGCATAGATGACCATGATTTTGCGATGAGACCTGGATTTGGAGGTAAGACCAAGCCTAAACATGATATAAATTGAATGCCTTCGTGACCACTAGTATGCTATACCTTTCAAATCTTTGTATGAACAGTCTAGATCTCTCTGGCCCTGCTCTCAGCACCTTAGTTAGTATATTAGGCTGGTCACAGCAAGTATATGTTACATGTGCATGTACTTCAGCTCACGTTCTTGTGATGGATGTACTCTTATGGACATACATGCACATGTTGGTACATATGCACACACCTTAATATGAGATCTCGTGGAGATAACTATTTTGTCTTGGTCATCAGCCAGTTACGTTTTTTTCAGACCTAGACAGACTCAGAGGCAATCACATCTACTTTTACATGCAACTCTCCATAGGTTTATTACATTGATTTTCCAATCAGGTCCTCCTGAAAAACTGCCAGCAGGCTTGATCGATACACCATGTGAACTGGGCCTATTACTGATTATGCAAAAGTGAGGTATATGTGACTAAGACATGTGACCATGCACATCATCTCAGGGGGAAAAATGCCTTTTCCTGAGATCTTGCAAGGTTTTGCAGTTTACAGATGAGATTTCCCATCAATGCACTGTGATGTAACCTTCCCAAGATGCAACTCTTAGGCACAGGCTACATCATTAATGCCTAAGATGACAAGGAAGTGGAAAATCAATATATGTAATTAAAAGAAAAATATGTATATTTAACAAATGAATGTAAGATGATTTCATATCAGCTTACAGAGCTAAACACTGATGTGATTTTTAGTGAAAGTGGGTAAAGGTCCGCTTTAAAAAGCCAAGAACTCGAAACCAATGTAACAAGGACACTCCACTGTAGTCCAGGTAAGTCAAATAAAACACAGTTTATTAAAAGGGCAACCACAAAGTATCTGGTCATCCATGGGGTAGCCTTCCCCTGTTCACATAAAGGCCAACATTTCACGCACTTTTCAGGATAATCGGCCTTCTTCAGCAGATACAGTTCCTATATTGCTCAGTAGCTTTCCTCAGCTCTAAGCCTCTCAGCACCTCTGTGCTCTCCCAGCAATGTGTCCAGCAGGTCCTAGGATCACCGACCTTCCTGACCTCTCCCCTCGTGGGCACTCACACTGCTCTCCCCGAAGTGCGTCTAACAGGTCCCTTGGGTCACCGACCTTCCTGACCTCTCCCAGCCTCCCCCCGTCTGTTCCATGTGCGTCCAGCACGCACCTGAGTCTGCCTGTGTGCTTCCTGCACACACACAACTCCAACTCAACAACACCAACACTCCTCTGAGCACTGGGCGGGCTTCCTAATGAGGCTGCTCTCAGCCACCTGATCAGCCCAGGCTGGTCATTGGCAACACCTGGCAACACCTGGCCCCAGGACTGGAGATCTCATTTCACCCAGAGCTCTACGAAATCTCCAGAGCTCCAGATCCCAGCTACAATCAGGAAAACCTGGACGAACCTGAAAAGCCAGGCTCTAGCACACGAGCGGGAACCCGCCAGGATTTTAAACGGCTAGCGATTGCCGTTTACATATAAGCGGTCCGGCGTCTGTAAAGACACCCGATCGCTTGTATGATGCAAGTGAGGGTGCGTCCCCACCCTCCCCCCCTCCTTACCTCTCGTCGCCGTTGCTGTCCCTGCCGCCGTTGCCGCCACCGTCGTCCCCGCGATCCCGGGTGTCCATCCGTCCCGGGCGATGTCTCTCTGTGCACCGAGAATGGAGGGAGATAAGCCCCCGATCTCCCTCCGCTCTCATCCCAGTCTCTGAATGCAGGAAGTGATGTATATTACATCACTTCCGCATTCCTCTGTCACTCTCCGGTACAGAAACCGGAGAGAAGCTGATGAAGCAGATCTGTGCTTCATCAGCTTCTCTGGGGGTCCCTAGGTGATATTAGGGGTCTTTGAGACCCCTGATGTCTCCATAAAGGGGACCTGTTATCATATAGGAGCACCCTATGTGATAACAATAAAGTTAAGTGTAAAAAAAAAATTGCTCACAAAATAAATACATATTTAGACACACAAAACAAAAATAAACCCACAAAATGTTTTTAAAGTCCCCCACCCCCACATAGATGCGCAAAAATGCATTACAGTGCCTACATGCAAAAACGACGATTGCTCCAATTATGCTGCACGTGTTACATATCGCCGCGAACGTCGCAATGAGAGCAATAATTCTAGGGCCATCAATCACTGATAACACTACACTGATAAGTGGTAAAATCTTTTAAAGCGTCGCCTATGGCCAATTTTGGCTATGGTGTTTTTTTGCGATTTCACGGGCACACGCAATTTTAAGGCTTGGCATGTTTGGTGTCTATTTACCCGACATGACGCTGCCTTTTATATTTTACCAAAAAAATGAGTAAAAATAATTGTTTCCTAAAATAATAAAGGGAAAACCATTTTGTAAAAAAAATATTTGGTACTTTTTTTGTTATATAAAAAATAACAAAAAACCCCAGTGGTGATTAAATACCACCAAAAGAAAGCTCTATCTGTCCACAAAAAATGGTATAAAATTCATTTCAGTACAGCGTTGCATGACGGAATAAACGTCAATCGCTGAATACTGAAAAATGGCCTGGACAGGAAGGGGGTGTAAACACCCCGGTCAGCAAGTGGTTAAAGAACCTACAGACACAAGAGAGCATTTGCCAAAAAACCCTATTTATCATTGGGACATTTGTATATTTGTAGGCCTACCCCAATGCCCAATGGCAGAGTTTACCAAGGAGACGGCCTACAGTGCTTCCATTTCCCTTTCCATGGGCACAAGCATACACATTCACCAAATGCATTTCGGCAATTTCCTAAGCCCAAGGCCTACTTGAAGCGGAACACTTGCGCCTGTAGCTAGCAACAGTTGTGGACATCCATGGTACAGGTCAAATCTGACAAATAGGAATGTTTGCTCTCAAAAAACTGCATTGGGTATTTTCCGAATGGAATTAGCCACTGCAAGTGAAGTTTACTAGACCACAATTTGTCACTAACTCAATTTAGTAAATAGTTGGCACAGTCTTTAGGCATTAAGCTAATGGTACAGTTGCTCTCTCTCTCTCTGAAATATTCTAAGCGCCATCTCAGGGATTGGAGAGCACAGAAAAAAAGCACATTACCTCCCAATGTGGGCAACGGTCTCATGTCAACAGCCCTTTCTCTGTGCTAACAACTGCTGTAGGTGTGAAAATAAAGCAGGGATGTTAGAAAAGCTGTCCCAATTGGTGTTGCACACCTCCCTGTAAGTATTACCTCCGCCTCCCTCCCTTCTCCATTGACATACATTTCCTAAGCAGCAGACTTGACCTTGCAAGTTTATGGAGGGAGGTCAGAACGTCTGCACATCTCACCGCCTTGTGATGTCTGTTGGGAGCCTTACAATGTCTGAAACAAAATTCATCACACGTCAGACACCACAACCTCAGAAAGGGGCTTAACTGGCAGGCATTACAGCCACATTTATTAAGATGTCTGACAATTAACACTACATAGTCTGATATGCATTGCTAACTGTAAACTCTCCCAGGACAACATTGATTAATATTCACTATCTATGCAAAACTAGAATTATAAGATCATCTAAAATGTTCGATGTACCACAAAGGTACAATAACACAAAATTCATTTTTGTTTTTAGATTATATCAGATAAACATTATATAGCTTCTATTCGAATGTAGTTGTACCAAATGAATTTAGTAAAGTGCATAACATGTGCAGATGTAATGCAGAAGATATACCATAATATTGATCTTTATACAACTGAAAATATTTTTCCTTGAAGGCTCAGCGATTCCCGTTGGCATTGATGTACAGATAGAAAGCATAGACAGCATTTCAGAAGTGGATATGGTAAGTTATATAATTTTTTAACCTAAATGTGGTAAACATGAACTTAGAAAGAATTATGCTCTTCATTACATTGAACGTTTTACTGTTTATGTTACTATAACTACATTGAATATGAAAACAACATGATTGCCCTATCTTGCTGGGTAGTAGAAAAGTTATTTTGATTTTTAAAGTCAATTTTTGAGATCTCTGAGTGGTTAGAAGTGTCAGGACTTTACTGCAGTCTGGGTTCCCACTGGAAAGATTTAGGGCTTGTTCACACCATCTCCAGACCAGATCTGGATGAGTCTGGTGCGTTTTGGATGTGTTCTAGTGAATTCTGGTGCATTTTTAAATCTCAATTGACTTTCATGTACATTCCACTGTGTTCTGGTGTTTTTTGCATGTATTTTGTAGTGCTCTATAGCAGGTGCCATTCTGCATTGCAGCAATGCAGAATGGCACGCTCTATAGAATACTACAAATCTCTGCAGTACTTTATACAGAAATGTTATTGCTGTATAAAGTATTGCTAGGATGTTGAATCCTCTATAGCCTGTGCCATTCTGCATTGCTGTAAACATGGATCCACCCATGGCCAAAACTAGGGGGGGTTTCCAGGGGAGGAGCTGCATTATGGATGGGTGCCACCAGCAGGGTAACTACCGCACGAGCCTGGGGGAGAGGGGCCAGGACTGGATCAAACTGCACGCCCCGCCACCCACCCCAGCCTTATGCGCAAGGGCAGACCTACCGCCTGTGCAGCCGGTGCGTGAGCCTGAGGGGGGCCAAGCACAGTCCCTGCGCAAATCTATCTTTAATGTATATAAATATAAAAAAAACAGGTAAAACATATCAATTTACAAAAATAATAACTGACCAAAAACCATTATATTTTATCTTTTATCCTTTAAAATTTCTGAAAAAATAGGTATATGTAAATCTATATAAATCTTCAAAATGAAACTAATAACAAGAGAACATATGGACCAGGAGTTTTTTGGGTGGTTCAAAATTTTTTCAAATAAAATCTCTATTGATCATTTAATACCAGTTCTATATCAAAAGTTGACATACATTTAAAACATTTTTAAACCCTAGAAGAAACCATATATCCCAGAGCCATGTGAGTTAGAAATTCTCCTATACTTGGTACTAAGGAGTATAGGAGACAATCTATATTGGATCGTAGATCAGAGCACCTTTTCCTAACAAGGTGGGGGCATGTGATACCACCTATCAATACCTTACAGTGCTGTCCTACTGTCTTTACTATGGCACCTTGGGTGTACTCCAACCAGGGTCGGCCTTAGGCCTTTAGGCACCCTGTGCAAGAAAGCTTGACAGCGCCCCTCAGTGACCACACCCCTCCGTGGTCACACCCTTTAGTGGCCACACCCCCAGTAACCACACCCATGTATCACCCATATTTTTGGTAAAATATAAAAGACGGGGTCACGTCGGGTAAATAGACACCCACCATGTCGTGCTTTAAAATTGCGCGCACCCGCAAAATCGCAAAAAATTACCATGCCCAAAATTGACCATAGGTGACGCTTTAAAAGCTTTTACCGCTCATCAGTTTAGTGTTATCAGTGATTGATAGCCCTAGACTTATTGCTCTCATTCCGATGTTCGCGGCGATATGTAACATGTGCGGCGTAATGGGCGAAATCGTCGTTTTCACACGTATGCACATCCGACGCATGTTTGCATGCGTATATGTATGGGGGGGGACTAAAAAAAAATTAATTATTTTTGTTGCCATGGCGCCCTGTGCGGCCGCACTGCTCGCACACCCCTAAGGCCGGCCCTGGTAAAGGGACTGGATTTTGACGGTTGAACTACCAAGTGTATTGTTATAACATATAGATATTTATGCATCTGTTGTTTAAGTGAAGTAATTGTATTTCCTTATCGGTTTCTGCGGGCCTCTGAAGGATTTTACAATGACCTTATACCTCAGACATTACTGGAAAGATGAAAGGCTGTCTTTCCAGAGTACCAACAACAGAAGCATGACATTTGATGGAAGACTAATCAAAAAGATTTGGGTGCCAGATGTATTTTTTGTCCATTCCAAAAGATCATTTATACATGATACCACGATGGAAAACATCATGCTGCGTGTATATCCAGATGGGAATGTGCTATTCAGCCTAAGGTAAGAGGACTGCAGATTGTCTTACTTCGTGCTGAGTGACTGATTAACATTTTTCATTACGGAAATGATTGCATATATTTTTTTTCCAATTGATAGACCTGCTGACTCCATAGGAGTCAGACTGTGTGGCTAACTTTGCTCTCCATATGTTGTAAACACATACATGCAAAAAGAATGTTCCCTATGGGAGCCTGGATAACATAAATATAATAAACAGCTGCTCCCGCCCTTTAGGCAAGAGAAATGGCTGGAATTATTACAAAGTGTTATGGCAAAGTTTGGAATCTTACTACATAGATCTGTGAAAAATAGAATGATAAGCAGATGAGGGCAGATGCTAAAAATGTTTATACATTACACTAGCCTGTAGCAATGAAAAGTGAGTTGAATTTTTAGATGTGGCCCAACCAGTCAAAAGCCTGAGCCATGAGTAATCACTAAAGGAGTAAAGTAGAACAAAACGAGGAAATAGCATTTTATTGCAGGTTGAGTTTTCTTTCCACGGCAGGGCAAGAACTTTGGTTTACAAGGAAGAATTTGGAATAACATTGTTACTTTATATTGGAGTTGTTGATTTAAATTAGAGGAACCAGCTGGGGCAAAAAAATTCTCCAAAGGTTCTATGGAAGTGCAGTTGGGAGTAGGTCCTGGAGAAGGTGGACATGAAATGTAATGGAGCCCACCAAAAATATCTTGTAGCTGAGAAGCAGATCTGCAAAATCTCTAAACTAATCAAATGTGCATACAACCATGGGAGACCTTTGAACCTTTGGCCTGAGGAGTCCTTTTCATAATAGATACAGATTTCTGTGTGCTAAAGGACACACCTTTTCATATCTTTTAGCGTCAGCTTCCTTTGCAGCTCTTGGTATTTGGTCATACATGGAATCTCGTAGCAGTAAAGGAAGATGGTGCTGGAAGACTTCCCTGTGCCAGATTCTGTGTTTGCAGTATTAAAAAGGAAACACGTAGCTATATATTGGTCATTCAAGGTTCCTTGCTCTTTATATAGCTGTTCTTGGGAGGCCGCATAACCTGTAGGGCCGCCACAGGCGTTCCCTCATTTATATGTTGGAGAATTCCCCCCCACCCCCCTGTCAGGTTTTATTGCTGTCCTATTTTTCCTCAATTCCTGTTCTGGGGACAGCCTTTTACCAGACAGGAAGTGAGGGGAACTCTCCAACAGGGAAACAAACAACACACAGCAAGACAAACACTTGGGGTGGTAACTTCACTGACACTGAGTCTGATAAAAATGCAGATGTAGAATCAAAGTAAAAATGCTTTTTTTTTTTAAAGCGGACCTTTCACCCAAATTGGACAAATCTTGTTTGCCGGTCATCCTAATCCTCCTTTCTTTAAGTGACATTAAAGTAAGGAGTTAAAATCTTAAAAATGCATTCAAGTACCTTAACTATTTGTGCTGACACGTTGCTTCCTTCTAGAGGGTGGCTACCTTTGTTCCCCATGGTCCCTGTAGCCACCACTCCAAGCTTGCACCTTGCTAATTTGTATTGAAATTATATATCAATAGGCTAATTATATATCGCCCGGCTTCCTGATTGGTCGGGAAGCTGGCCAATCAGGAAGCTGGGCAGCGAGTCATTAACTGCTCCCCCGGCCTCCTGATTGGCCAGAAATCCAGCTCCATGCTTCTTCATCACCTGGTGACAAGGAAGCATGGAGCCAGCTTTCTGGCCAATCAGGAGGCCGGGGGAGCAGTTAATGACTCGCTGCCCAGCTTCCTGATTGGTCGGGAAGCTGGCCAATCAGGAAGCCAGGCGGGGAATCATTACTCGCCGCCTGGCCTCCTGATTGGCCAGAAAGCTGGCTCCATGCTTCCTTGTCATCTGGTGACGAGGGAGCATAGAGACGGCTTCCCTGCTAATCAGTGAGTCATTACATGCCGCCCGGCCTCCTGGCTAATCAGGAAGCTGGGCAGTGAGTCATTATACACCGCCCAGCTTTCTTAAAGCCGACCTTTACACTCAAAAATCAAATTCTATAAATGCATCCCTCTATGTATGATGATTAATAATAACATAGACATGTCAGGTGTAAAATGCTGTGATTGTGAAATACTTACACTTGCAGAACATTCACTTCCTGCTTTGAAAGTGAAAATGACTTTAGTTTGGCAAAGCAATGCACACTGGGATTGCATTGTCATCATCAGAGCATTGCTGGGAAATCTCATCTCAGTGAAAAGCATTTTCCTCCCCTGAGATGATGCGCATGGTCACATGTGCCATATTTTCAGGAGAGCTAGTAATCTGCCTTTAGATAACATGGCCACTGTCAGACTGGGAAGAAAAGAGAAATAAGTTATGCAAAGAATACAAAGCCGGCAATTGTCTAGAAGTCTGTGTTTGTAGATTGTCATTATGAAACATTTATAAAAGTGTGTTTGCTGTTATTTTAAAGATATGGGTAAAGGTCCGCTTTAATGAGAATTCCGGTATCGGTATTTGGTATCGGCGAGTACAGAAAAAAAAAATGTCGGTACTCCGTGGACCCTGAGACCCAGCTGTGTCTCCCTTTATATGGAGTTAATGCCAGCTATATTCTCTTCAATGGCTTTAGAAACACTTTAATTGCACCATCACCAGCAGCTGAAACAGAAATAAGATTGCTCCAACTCTGTTTTCCTTATGTTTGTTTCTTTCCTCCCATCTTAATAAATTTTTTTGTGTTTTTTTAAGTTCCCTTAAACTCAAAGTGCATTTGCACTTTTGCAGTTAAATTGGAGAAAACCCCACTTTATGTTTGTTATGTGTCCCCATTCACACAGCATTCTTTAAAATATTTTTTCCAAATATTTCTTACCTTTTAGATATTTTTTGGGGGAAGGCCTTTGTGCAGATTCCAGGTTACTCTGACCTCGAAAGTGGAAATAGAGGGACAAACCCTGGGACAGACTGAGCTCTTATTAACATACAATGCTTCTAGATCTTTAACCCTTTGTTAGGACATACAGTGTTATTAGTCACCAGCAGATCATTCCCAATATATTTTTAATTTCAAGAACAAAACTATAGTTTAAACCATGTTTTTTAATACTTAGCTTAAAACTAGTAATGGCACACTTTAATGTAATTGATTAAGAAAGTGGGTGGTGACATAAAATATACATCCATCATGTATATTATCCTCAGATTACCCTGGAGGTCCACGAGCTCTGCTATTAAAATCCTGTTTAATCCCATGCAGGGGTAGCCCCCACAAAGACAGCTTATTATATTAAACGTTATATCCCTACAGGAAAATGCACCAGCTGTCCACTTCTCATTTTTCTGCCACTCCGGTTTTATAAACGGAAAAAAAACAACTGCTTGCATATGCTAACAAGTGAACACTGATCTATAAAATACTCCGACTGCATTGCATGAAGATGTATTGGTGCTATAATAGATCCGACTTTACCTCTTATCAATTGAGTCATCAATTGAGAATTTATTCACGTTTAGAAGTTTGACACTGAGAAACTTCCCGAAATAAAAAAATCTGGCCAAGTGCTAGTCAAAGATGTGATATGCTGGGTCCAGTGAGACATTAGAGTTGAATATACCATAGTGGCTTTCTCCCAGGTGTTCCAGTAGCGGTGCTCAGCCTCATTGTTGATGGTAGATATCTGATATCAAAGCTCAGGATCCTTGTGCAGCTTCTATATGGGGAAGAATGTGCCCACTCTTTAGATGGCTGGTGTTCTATTATTTCCTGTTAGATAATTACTATAATTATGAATGTCGGGAAAAAATGGGCCCCATGATGCACTGGACGGGCCGTTCACAAATTACAGTAGACACATGACATATACAACCATTAACTAAATTGTCCTTCTTCTTTTCCTAGGTCAGTGATGCGAACACCCATATACTGCACAGATTAAGGAGATACAGAGCACAGGTCTTCAGAGTGGCAGGTCATATCTTTGGGGATTTATCACTTTCCCAAAGTTATACTAGTAAAGACCAGCAATTTGCTTCAGAAGCACAGCAGTTAAATAACACCTCTTTTGTTTATAAATCCTTTTTAATATGCCCTCCAGAGTAACCAACTGACCTTAGAAAACTTGAGTGACTGTTCCTTTTTCAAATAGTTCATTAGTAATAATCCCTTGTATGGTGGTATAAAATCATATACCCTTAAAGTGACATTAAAGTATATATTTTTTTCCCTCCCCCCAATGTTAGTGTAAGCACTTACCTTAAATGATGTTTCTTAATCCGATCTTCCTCTTCTTTCCTGTCATTTTTATCTGTCCCTCCAGCGCTGCGGCGGGTCTCCGATCCAGCGCTGACTCCTCCGGGCTTGCTGGCACTTCCTGTCCCACGGTGTCTGCATGCGGGTGCACGCTGTCCATAGACTTACCTTGTGTCTCTCCCCGTCTCCCGGCCGAAAATCTGAACTGCGCATGTGCCCGCCCCATGATCCTTTGCGGCGGCCTGAGATTTTTCAGATTTTTGAACGGGAGTGCGCGGCGAAGACACAGGTAAGTATTATCCTCTTTTAAAGCGTTTTTTTTAACGTTATTGCATATTTCTACTGCTTGCTAGCAGTAGATATATGCAAAAAAAAAACCCGGAGGGTTTAACAACCCTTTAAAGCAGTCTTAGGCTACAATCAAATGAGGCTTTACTTCTGCTTTAAGTGTCAAATGATGCTAATATATGAAATATACAGGGCTATTCACAAAAAAAGTGAAGAGTTTGGAGAAGGCTGTATACGTGAACACTCTAGCTGAACTAGAAAGTGAGCTGAATTGGATAATTTTTCCAAATCAGCTATGTTGTCCTAGATTGTTCACTTCTCCTGCCTTCTCCAAACTCTTCACCCTTTTGTGAATAGCCCTTGTAGTTTTTAGTGCTTCTCCTCCTTGCCCCTATAATACATATTGATATTAACAGTAAGCCTGCTGTACTATTGATTATTTATATGGTCCCTCTTTTTATTTCAGGATAACGGTCTCTGCTATGTGCTTCATGGATTTCAGCAGATTTCCTCTAGACACACAGAACTGCTCCTTGGAACTGGAAAGTTGTAAGTAGGTTTGTTCATTACGTATGCTGGAAAATAGTGCCAAAACTGAAGCTATGCGGTGTTAAAATTCATGCATAAATGGATTTTACTGTAAAAATTTAAATACGTTTTAATGAAGTATCATAAAAAAAATAATGCACGTTTCAGGAACACAGACGTCCCCTTTATCAAGCTGACAGTGAGAATGTTGTTGTATTTGACTTAAAACGAATGTACTAGCATCTTTATAGGTTTGTTGTTGTCAACCCAGGATGAGACTCTGAGTTCTTTTATGAATAGGTGAATTTATTGACCATACAGCAATATTGTCAATATTGTAGTTATCTATGTTTGTTCCCCACCTTCACTGGACCATAAACAATCACTGGTGAAAAGTGTTCCCTTTGTGCTCATCACCCCTCTGAGTAATGAGCACATAGTAATCCAGTAATAAATAAAGCAGGCAGAGATATTGAGCAATCTAAAAGTTAAACAGGTGATCCAGGACACAGTAGAGTTCCATTAAAGTGACATTAAAGTAATTTTTTGTTCCCCCCCCATGTTAATGTTAGCACTTACCTTAAAGGATGTCTCTTAAACCGATCTTCTTCTTTCCACATGTTTTCATCTGTCCCTCCAGCACTGCGGCGGCTCTCCGATCCAGCGCTGACTGCTCTGTCCCTCCGATCCAGCGGTGTCTGCATGCGGGTGCACGCGTCCATAGACTTACCTTGCGTCTCTGCTCGTCTCCCGGCCGAGAATCGGAACTGCGCCGCCCCAAGATCCTTTGCAGCCGTACGAGCAGTTCCTGATTCTTGGCGCGGGAGCGCGCAGCGGTAACGAGCGTTTTTGTTTTTTTTAAGACTTCTTGCCTATATCTCCTACTTGCTAGCAGGAGATATAGGCAAAAAAAACGGAGGGTTTAGAACCCCTTTAACAGGTTTAACATTCATTAACAGGATGGCCTGTTTCATGATTTAAAATCATTAGCTTATTACGTTCAACAGGGGAGCTGACAACTGTGTGAGGTCTTAACCCTTATCAGTGAATGTCACTGAGGAGATTGGGTGGTTGACAAAGGAGGCACAGGGGAGCTGTTATGCTATAGGTAGTATTAGAAAGTGAGGTAGCTATGTCAGAACCCACTCGAACAATGAACCTGTCTCTGTAGAACTGGAAATGGTGATATACATATAAAATGGTAGACTTCTTTATTCTCATGAATTTGAAGAATGACAGATACAGTATGTTAGTTCATTTTTCAATTTTCATAAGCAATCAATTACCTTTGCCTAAGAAAAGTCCTATTTCATCATTCGTCTTCTGATTTCTCACAGATGCTTACAATGAAGATGACCTAATGCTTTATTGGAAGCATGGAAACGAGTCTCTGAAAACTGATGAACACATCTCATTGTCCCAGTTTTTCATTGAAGAGTTCAGTGCTTCTAGTGGACTGGCACTATACAGCAGCACAGGTAACTATTAAAGAAAACTTACCATTTAATTCGATTTTGTCTCTTTCGTGATCTAGCTGTACACTTTCTAACATTCCCAGATCAAATGGCAAGACAAATAAAATAGGTGACACTTCTTAGCTACTAATATAACACTGACAAAGAGCTTGCAGTGAATGATTCTTTCATACTGTCTAAATCAAACAATGCTGCCTAAGATGTCTCCTATTAATTCTATTTTCCAGAAAAAAACTCTCTTTGTAAGATTATGTTCACTTTGCTATAGAGGCCAAAAGGAATAAACCCTCCTTATCCCTCAACCACATATCCAAGGAGTGCTTTATTGTCCAGCAAGGAGTTCTCATTGGATGGGGGCCAGCAGGCAGGCATGGCTGAGAACAGTTGGTGAGCAGGGCTCATACTCGAGTCAAGTGGTCAGGACCTCCATAGCAATAGGAAAGTTATCCCATACAGGATAATGGAATGGAATGGAATTCCCAGACCGTGAAAAGTCATAGCAGACACTTTGTGGTCTTAGGCAGCGCTTTTAGTCAAAGTATAGGAAGAGTGCAGCATAAACTAAACCAGGACCACTCACGCCAGGACCCAAAATCCATCTTCTCAGTCTCCCAAACACAAAACAACCATGAGAAGTCCTGGTGACTTGGCACATCTGTATAAACAGCTGCTAATAACAATCTGATTTTTCTCTGATGTTCTGTAACATTTCCTCTTATTTATTTCCAGTATTGATATGCAATGTAATGTACCAATTGTAAAGTAGTGTACCATGTTAGCTATCAATGAATGCAGGAAGTCTCGGGTTTAGGTGATAGCCATTACTGACTAACTTATCTTGCAAGCTTTCAGGATGACTTAAATGCCTTCATTGCGTTTTATACTATTGTTTAAAGCATGAAGAAGGAATCAAAGTCATCGTGAAAGCCAATAAAGAGTATCACATAACTAAAAAATCAATAAGTTTCTCCAAAACAATATACAACACAAAAGTAAATGAAGTAAAGATGGCCAAATATCCGGACTACCTTAGGCCATCAGTTATATTCATGGCTGAGAACAGTTGGTGAGCAGGGCTCATACTCGAGTCAAGTGGTCAGGACCTCCATAGCAATAGGAAAGTTATCCCATACAGGATAATGGAATGGAATGGAATTCCCAGACCGTGAAAAGTCATAGCAGACACTTTGTGGTCTTAGGCAGCGCTTTTAGTCAAAGTATAGGAAGAGTGCAGCATAAACTAAACCAGGACCACTCACGCCAGGACCCAAAATCCATCTTCTCAGTCTCCCAAACACAAAACAACCATGAGAAGTCCTGGTGACTTGGCACATCTGTATAAACAGCTGCTAATAACAATCTGATTTTTCTCTGATGTTCTGTAACATTTCCTCTTATTTATTTCCAGTATTGATATGCAATGTAATGTACCAATTGTAAAGTAGTGTACCATGTTAGCTATCAATGAATGCAGGAAGTCTCGGGTTTAGGTGATAGCCATTACTGACTAACTTATCTTGCAAGCTTTCAGGATGACTTAAATGCCTTCATTGCGTTTTATACTATTGTTTAAAGCATGAAGAAGGAATCAAAGTCATCGTGAAAGCCAATAAAGAGTATCACATAACTAAAAAATCAATAAGTTTCTCCAAAACAATATACAACACAAAAGTAAATGAAGTAAAGATGGCCAAATATCCGGACTACCTTAGGCCATCAGTTATATATATATATATTTTTTTTATATATTTTATCATGATTGGTGGTTTTGGCTAATGCAGACTGATCCTATTTAAAATAGTATTGTAAATAATGTCAAGTTGAAATGTGAACATAAAACAAACCTAAAGCAAGAAAAAAATGATTCTGTAAAAGGCTAAGCATTTATTTTTCATTTGATCCCTTTGTTTACCAGGCTGGTACAATAGACTTTTCATCAACTTCATCCTAAGACGGCACATTTTCTTCTTTGTGCTTCAGTCCTACTTCCCAGCAATGCTGATGGTGATGCTATCTTGGGTGTCTTTCTGGATAGACAGAAGAGCTGTACCAGCCAGAGTATCTCTAGGTAAGGCATGACTCTAGTGGAGTCCAGCATATATCATGTTACAGTCATTTTCAGAGACACTGGAAACAGATCAAAGAGTGTACATAAGCTAGTCATAATACAGCATCAAAGCATGATACAATTCCACCAGTTTCATCTACATTCGATTACTACATATTATTTCCATGTGTCTTCCCTCCACGTCTTTAAATAAACTAATTACAGTGTTGCCAACCAAATTATTATTTTTTTACAAGAGTTGTTAAAGGAGAACTATGAGATGAGTGATTTCCACTCACCTCATAAATCTAGTCGACCTGTGACAATGAGACTGTCACAGGTCGGCTCAGTAGATCGGGAGGTGAGCGAACACATACCAGGTTCGCTCACCTCTCAATCCTGTCACGGCTCTCTGCCGTGACAGGGGGAGGGCTGGATTCCCCTCTCCCCGCTCCGATCTGCCTGCGCTGACTGGCGGAACGGACGGGGGAGGGGGCGGGTACAGCTGGCTCTGCCTCTAGATAGGCAGAGCCAGCTGTCACTCACGCAGCGGGGCGGATCCCGTCATCTACGTCGGGATCCGCTCCGGCTGCGGCGTCTCAGTATACCGCGAGCTGTAGCTCGCGGTATACTGAGCTTAGGGTAACGGGAGGATGCTAGTTTGTGTCCTCCCGTTACCCTAAGGAGAACTATGGGGAAAAACACTGACCCCATAGTTCTCCTTTAAAAATATTACAAATAGTACAAATCACAATAACAATAATATTACAATAATAACAACAAGTCTGAACTGCCCTTGATAGCACTCATTTGTAGTGCTTTTCAATTACAGTTCTATTTGTTCTTAGAAGCAGAAGTCCCCCTTAACCCATGAGAGGTGCCCCCTAAATGCCATTGTTCTAGAATATCTACTCATTTTGGGTAGGGACTGATGTTTAACGAACAACTACAGCAGCTTTGTCAGTGATGTCAAAGCTCATATAAAGGAACCTGACCACCTTCCGAAAATGCTAGTTGCATGTCAACCAGCGGTGCTGACCTTACTTGCTGCAGTCAAGCAACCAGCAGGTTAGAAATGGTAGCTTATGTATTATTTTCATGACAAGATTAGTGTATGTATGACCATACAGCCTATTTTGGCAGGACACTACCCATTCTTTGATACCCATCGGCTTGTGTCTTATCAGGAAGTGGTGGTGTTGCTCTAGATTGCAGATCTGACTGGTTATATTTGAGTGGGGTTAAGAAGAACAGGACAAGCAGTTGGCTCATTTGTAACTTTTAAAGTGCTGCGAAGCATATGAATCAAGGAAAGAAAACCAAATGATGTGGAAACAAGTATATAAAATATAGAAACATCTTTATATCATTTTTCTATTCCGCAGAGAGTCTACTGTACTTGAACCAGTAATGATATACCCCGCTGACTATACTCAGAATGCCAGTTTTCACTTGGATAAACCTTTGTTGTATCGATCATATTTCTGTAGTAATTACCACTCATCCATAAACGGCTTTTTCTTCACTGACAGGTATCACCACCGTACTGACCATGTCCACCATCATCACGGGAGTGAGTGCCTCAATGCCTCAGGTGTCTTACATTAAAGCTGTAGACATCTATTTGTGGATCAGTTTCCTATTTGTGTTCCTGTCTGTTATTGAGTATGCTGCTGTCAATTACCTGACCACTGTGGAGGAACGGAAACAGCTCAAGAGGAGAGGGAAGGTAAATCAAACAGAACATGAGATAAAAAAAAGTCAGACTTCATCCTTGTGCAGAAATCCGTGTTTGAAATATCTATTATAGAGGACTAACCTGTGGAAAAAGCAGAACTGGGCACTAGGAGGCCAAAATAGGGGATTGCAACTGGCCCAGTGTGCTCTCAGAAACAGCCCTGTGTTGCTCATTGTGGTAAAATAACAGACTTTATAGAGGGGGGTGGTAGGGAAGGTTTCATTTTTATTACAGAAAAACACAAATTTTGTATTGATTTATTGACTTATTTTCTTCATGTGGTGGGTCAGAAAGAGTTGTAATTGTGAAAAAGTGGACAACCCCCTGAACAGTTTTCCTACACAAGCAATTCCTCTACACCTATATTCTATAGGGGGATAAACCAACCTCAGACAGAGAGAAGGTAAAAGCAGAAGTGTGTAACTGGGAGAGACAAATTAACCTGGCAACTTTGTATATAAATTTCCCATCTTTAGTGGTCAACTCAGAAACATATGTAGAGCCAAAGGAAATCTCACCGCTCCAATTCCTTAGCCGCCATCAGGACTCCCCAGGTGCTGGTCTAATAGGTGCATCTCCACCTTGGAATGTAGTAGTATATGAACAGACTGCACTATCCAAAGAATTCCAATACTTCAGACTTTATTAAAATTCATGGCAAATCCAGTATAACAGTGAAAAAAGTGTATAAAGCAACAAATGCCAGCACTGCACACCCCCAACCAGTTACAACCTCTCACATGTTTCACCCGCAAGCTTATTCATAGAGGTTGCTTTATACACTTTTTTCACTGTTATACTGGATTTGCCATGAATTTTAATAAAGTCTGCAGTATTGGAATTCTTTGTATAGTGCAGTCTGTTCGTATACTACTACAACCCAGAAACATGTTGTGCTTAATTTAAATTGACCAGAACAAAATCAGTTACCATTTAAAGTGATACAGGGGATACTATCAATGCAGATACTAATCTAGCAAGGAAATTAGAGCTGTCAAAATTGTTGAAAATGTCAGTACAGATCTCAGGGGATAGCTGTAGCAGAGAAAAGGGTAAACTAATATTTCCCAAAGTTTGCTTAATTTGCCTGGAAATATGAAAGGAACTAAACAGTGTTAAAAGTGCATTTGTTCTATTAAAGTTTGTCATCAAAGATGAAACTGACTTAAGTATATTTTCTTCCTAGTCGTCAACAACCCTGAACTTAGAGGCAGTGCAGGCCATGGCGTTTGATGGCTGCTACCACGACAGTGATGCCGACCTGAACTATTCTGTGTATTCTGAGGAGAGCTCATCCCGCGGCCGGGCTGCCAGTGTGGCTACTCTGGATGCAGCACGTGTGAAAAGGAAGAAATCCATTAAAGGGAATGTTGGCAGAATAATCCTTGAGAACAATCATGCCATTGACACATATTCGAGGATCATCTTTCCCATTGTCTATATTTTATTTAACTTTTTCTACTGGGGCATGTACTTATGAGATTTAATATTGTGAAGATGTACATATGTTATATATACATTTTGAATGTATGGATGCAGGAGCAAAGCACTCAGGTTTTTATCACATATGTCATTATCAAATTTCTAATAAGGACAACTTTTAAGCCTTGACCTGTCAAACTTTACAAAGATCTAACCAATCGCAGTATGAAGCCAATCCCACTATCTGGACATTTCATAAGCGTCCCATTAGTGGTGTTTGGTTTGGAGGTATGGAATAGTGCATAAGTGCTAATGCTTATGCTCTGCCGTGGACAGCCCAACGTTTTTCAACTTGATATCTTTAGTCTATGTATGTGTTTATAACATCAAGCTATTCAGCATTATCTGCAGAGTTTTTGACATGTACTCTTCTCCCAAAACAATCTTTTCTGTCACCATTTGGCCATTAAATCCTTCACTTGTCTTTATGCAAAGAAGTGGTATCTCTGAGCACACACAGATCTTTAAAATAGTGTTTGGCTGGTTTAAAATGTAATACAATTACATGATTGAGAAGAGATTGTGACACTTTTCCGACAATCATTTAAAGTATGCTCGTTCTTAGTCTGTGATTAAAAAGTAGTTGAAGTGGAACTACATTTCCTATCCTTTACAGCCGAGGAAGGTGTCATTTTAGCCTCTATTTGGGTTGCAGTTACAGTGACACTAAACTCAGACATTAAACCATAAAAATACATTCAAGTACCTTAACTATTAACACAAATGTATCTTATTTATGTATCACTCGGCTGTAGATACTCAAATCATCTCTGAATTGGTGCTGACACTGTCCTTCCTTCTGCAGTGTGGCTACTTTTGTTCCTCATGGTCCCAGTGTGTGTTGTAAAGTAGCCACCTCTCCAAGCTTACTCTCATTATGAACTAACATAGTTTACTAATTTGTATTGAAATTATAGTTTCTCACAGGAGTGATCTTGGAGCGGTGACTACTTTATAACACACACAGGGACCATGGGGAACAAAAGTAGCCACCCTCCAGAAGGAAGGACAATGTCAGCACCAATTCAGAGATGATTTGAGGATCTACAGCCGAGTGATACACAAATAAGATACATTTTTGTTAAAAGTTATGATACTACTTGCTTCTACTCGGCTGCACTGTCTCCTCAGTCCTGCCTTTTCTTTTTCTTGTGT